AGTTCACGTACGTCAGTCACACGACAGCCCGCCGAAAAAAAGTTACGGTCGGGCTGAAAAATGTACGGTCGGTCGGGTGAGTCGAACCACAGACCTTCTTCAGTGTGGCCTGATTATTAAAGGGGAAGTATACCCTAAAATCAAATTTTCACCAGTTGTAGTCTTCGGGGTGCTGAGTCGAATGGTCTTGGTCCGAGGAAGCTGAGACGCTCCCTTCCTACTTGAATCCCAATCGAACTCGCGCACTTCCACCGAAACTGGGTGACTGCGCCCTACTAGATGGGGATTTGTATGCAAAATGTCACTAAAAGCGCCATTTCGTTCTTATAAAAGCACGGATGACCGCGATTGGCCCATATGTTGTAGTCTTTTGGACGCTGAGTCGACTGGTTTTGGTCCGAAAAGGCTGCGATGCAGCGTTCCTCCTTTATTCCCAATCGAACATGGTTGAAGAAGCGGTCACGTGCTCCTGCGTACACCAGTCACCTGGTCACCGTGCCTGCAGGGTACAACTTACTAGCCTGTTTGACCTTTTTTGGGTGCAGTCCTGTCACTCGAGTTGAACTCGAGTTGAACCTTGGTGTGAAAGTTGTCGCCTGCTGGCGCGGTGACCAGGTGATTTGGGCACCCAGGAGCACGTGACCGCTTGTTCAACCATGTTCGATTGGGAATAAAGGAGGAACGCTGCATCGCAGCCTTTTCGGACCAAAACCAGTCGACTCAGCGTCCAAAAGACTACAACATATGGGCCAATCGCGGTCATCCGTGCTTTTATAAGAACGAAATGGCGCTTTTAGTGACATTTTGCATACAAATCCCCATCTCGTAGGGCGCAGTCACCCAGTTTCGGTGGAAGTGCGTGAGTTCGATTGGGATTCAAGTAGGAAGGGAGCGTCGCAGCTTCCTCGGACCAAGACCATTCGACTCAGCACCCCGAAGACTACAACTGGTGAAAATTTGATTTTAGGGTATACTTCCCCTTTAATATTATTCTAGCGTGTCGTTTGGTTGGACCGGTACATATGAATGTCGTGACTGTATCGTATTCGTAGCCAGCAGTACAGTCAGCGTAGGATCGACTCTGCCTCTGGTGACAATATCATCGTCATGGGCTTTTCATTTCCTCGTTGTGAACTTGTGAGCAAGAGGCGCAGGACTAGTACTAGAACGTTCTGCGATTGAAACTGTCACTCTGTGTTTATGCGATTACAGTAGGTAACTCAACAACACCTGCGCCTAGGCAAGGAGAAGTCCACATGCACACCGAAGCAACCTGTCGTGGTAAGTGATCAATCAGATCTGTTCAACGACCTGGCACCTAGCTCGAACACATCTGCGAAGAGCAAAACAAAAACCCTCCGACGCTCAGGCTTAGTGGCGCATCCCTTCTCCTCATTGGAACATTCCTCACCTGAGCCTTCTAAGTAATAGTTGGAAGGTTGTTGGTTTGCGCTTCGTAGCTGTGTTGGAGCTATATGTAAATGTAGGTGTCAGGTCCGTCGTTGAATGTCTCAAAATCCTTGTCAGTTTTGTGCCTTGTAATGCTATTTGACTGTACAAGATCTCGTTACCTTGGTGTACTGTTAAAGGGGAAGTATACCCTAAAATCAAATTTTCACCAGTTGTAGTCTTCTGGGTGCTGAGTCGAATGGTCTTGGTCCGAGGAAGCTGCGACGCTCCCTTCCTTCTCTTTTCCCAATCGAACCCGCGCACTTCCACCGAAACTGGGTGACTGCGCCCTACTAGATGGGGATTTGTATGCAAAATCTCACTAAAAGTGCTATGTCGTTCTTATAAAAGCACGGATGACCGCGATTGGCCCATATGTTGTAGTCTTTTGGACTTTGGACGCTGAGTCGACTGGTTTTGGTCCGAAAAGGCTGCGATGCAGCGTTCCTCCTTTATTCCCAATCGAACATGGTTGAACAAGCGGTCACGTGCTCCTGGGTGCCCAAATCACCTGGTCACCGCGCCAGCAGGCGACAACTTTCACACCAAGGTTCAACTCGAGTTCAACTCGAGTGACAGGACTGCACCCAAAAAAGGTCAAACAGGCTAGTAAGTTGTACCCTGCAGGCACGGTGACCAGGTGACTGGTGTACGCAGGAGCACGTGACCGCTTGTTCAACCATGTTCGATTGGGAATAAAGGAGGAACGCTGCATCGCAGCCTTTTCGGACCAAAACCAGTCGACTCAGCGCCCAAAAGACTACAACATATGGGCCAATGGCGGTCATCCGTGCTTTTATAAGAACGAAATGGCGCTTTTAGTGACATTTTGCATACAAATCCCCATCTAGTAGGGCGCAGTCACCCAGTTTCGGTGGAAGTGCGCGAGTTCAGGTAGCATTTGCCCGTCGCCAGTACCTGCTTAGTGTGATTCATCCCGACTTTGAGTATTGTTTCCCTGTTTACGCATCCCACCTATCAGCACAGTCCAGGGAGAGATTATTTACCTTGTTCCATAGAGCTGTACGAGTTACCTGCGGTGCTTCATATTATGATGCTGTACCACCCCTTCTTGCTTCTCTTCAAATAAAACACCTTGAATATCGATACATTTATCAATTTCTTACGTTTACATTTATTTGTCATATTGTTCAGCCTGCATCATGCTTACGCAGTCTATTCCCTTTGCCCACCTCTAAGCGGTCAACTCGTGGAACTACAACAAACAATTTGTCAATTCGCTTGTATAAATCCATGGTAGGGTACAATTCCTTTTCCTCTAGAGCATCCCTTATGTGGAATGCCCTCCCTGCTCACTTGAAAGGAAGTGAGGACATTAGATCATTTTCTACAGAACTTTTGCACGCTCTAAATGACGACAAATTGACTATATCCCCATATCCCCTCCTTTTTGAAAATGTATTTCACCAATAAAATAAGGCTTGGAATTTTTTAAACATGAATATCGACGGACTTGCCCCTTCTGTTCATGCATTGCCCTGCTCTAGTAATGGTTCATGAATCCGCCCAGTCCACATTCCTTCTCCGTTTTTCTTTCCTTTCAGTTGCATCTTCCTCTCTGCTCTGTTTTATTTTCTCTTTTCGTTCGTCCCTCTTGATATTTGTACTTTGTACTGTTGAGGCAACGAACTGAAATAATAAAAACCAAACCAAACCAGTTCGATTGAGAATGAAGGAGGAAGGGAGCGTCTCAGCTTCCTTGGACCAAGACCATTCGACTCAGCACCCCGAAGACTACAACTGGTGAAAATTTGATTTTAGGGTATACTTCCCCTTTAACTGATAGTCATAACTCGTAATTTATTGGTCCTTTCTCTTTGCTCAATATCAAAACAAGGAAATGTTATCATTTTTAGCATGATGTAAACAATCAAGCAGTACAGAGTACCTATTGTGTTGGCAGACCAGCCAATGGTTGCAAATCGGATCTGTCTCTGGTCGGTAAGAAGGGCGGTGGAGGACCAGTTTGAGAAGCTAGCGAGTACAAAGTAGAGGAGGGTTCGATACCAGAACGCCTTGACAGCCAAATTTGTATTGACCCAAACCGATCATCAGCGTGGATTGTTCACTCGAAATATGTTTGTAGAAGGAAACTGGCATGTTGAAGTTTGCTCTGAGGCCAGAGTCAATCGAACTGAGCCACTCCCTTGTGTTGGCCCATTGCCTCCAAGTTGCCCAATTTTCGCTTCAAATCAGAGGTGGTTCCAAACCGGAACGATTTTAGAGTGCACGTCGAATTCACTCTGAGTTCTGAAATTAGGTAATTTCTATCGCACCACGACGGCCAGTACAGAGTAACAATAAGCCTTGTGCGTGCTTCCATTAGTTTTCATTGGTATACGGTGCTTTATTGGCGTTAGTCGAGCCGCTGTTTACCTGCGACAAGTAATTGATTTTTAAGACGTAAAACTCAAGTCGCAGTGCGAAGCAACACGTCAAAACCTCACCTGCTTGATATGGCGCTTCTGGTCATCGCAGAGCCATGAAATTTTGGCTCGAAGTAAAACATATCATAGTCTCACTGTGGCAAATGTTTTCTAATCAAAATACCAAGAGAGAAAGTGAATATTGAGTCACTGCTGACTCGGAGCACGCAGCGCAGAAAAGTCAAAATGTTCGATCGCTCTCCGCTCACTCAAACGTCATCGGAGAGACTTCGGACCTGTTCGAGGCGATAGCTGATAGTTTTATCTACCACTTAGACACTTCGATTGTTGAATTTGGTCAAGATTTGGCCGAGAACCGAAAGTTTGACTGCACGCACATGCATACAAAATGCTCAGGGTTCGAAATCGAACCATGGACGCCAAAGGGTTAAATGCTGTATTTGGCCAAGCGGAAAATAGAGCTTCCTCTCAATCAAAGACCAACCAGGTGCCTTCACGTGGCGGGAGTGTTTTCACAAGATCCTGGACGTCTGAAAGGCGAGTTGCTGACGCCTGAAAACCAGTTTGTTTCTTGCTCTGGATTGCACCTGAGCTCGTAGAGGTGTTGACAGAAAAGCTGAACCGTTAGTCAATGGTGGCACCTGCCAGGGGTAGTGGACTAGTACTCGTCCCAACAGAGGAAAGGTAGCTACCTCACTGCACCTGCTACCTTGCGGGATAGGTCTTGGCTAACCAAGGGATAGAGTGGCGGCTCAAGAAACACGCATCTGGAAGGACCTGACCAACCACTAGATTATCAAGGATCAGGAAGCAATGATGTCAACAAAGAAGCTTCTCTTATTGGCCACAGGCCATCGTGAGAATAAAAGATTTCAAAAGAAGAAGAATGCGATTGAGTCTTCGGATCGTGGGCTCCTCAGGTTGGACGAGGATGGTATGGCTACTGAGGATGAGAGAGCTATTCGTCTAAGTACTGCTGGCACAAGAAGTATAGTTACTAAGTAAGATGTCAACTCCTATACAATCCGACAGCAAAGACGACATCGCATCAATGCCCGCTCCTCCAAGTGCAAGCCAGCAAGACAGCATCAACCCATGCCACTGGAAGCCAGAAGTAAAAGCATCATTACTGGAAGTAGGGGCATGGTGCCCGTTACTGCAAGCCAGGGTGACCCAGCATCACTGACCGCTACTGCAAGCAAGGGTGACACGGCATCACTGCCCGCTACTGCAAGCCAGGGTGACCCAGCATTACTGACCGCTACTGCAAGCCAGGGTGACAAGGCAGAAATATTGTAAGACCAGATGTTTTTACGTTGATTAAAGTGAAAGAACTCCGGATTTTTGTTGGCTAGCGAAGTGAAATGCTAACGAATTCTGTCCGTCAAAGCCGGCAAATGACTGTACATGTACACATCGTTTTGTACATAAACACTTCAAATTTTAACTAATTTTAACTTTTCGTTTATTCGATAACCGCAATCAATAAAATTATTGTCTCCTCGCCGTGTGTTTAAATATTCGTTTATTCATTAGAATTAGATTTTCGTTATTGATTTGTCCTGCAAATCATGCTATGCACACAGACCAGCCGATAAGATGGCGAATGAAGATGACGATGAGGGTGACGAATCTAAAGAGGATTTAGCTTCGTCGTGCTCCCAAATTGGATTGAGAATGGCTGCAGTGGGAGATGGAGATGAGCGCCCACTCCTGTCGAAATGCTGCATATGGCCAAGCGCAAAATAGAGCTTCCTCTCAATCAAAGACCGACCAGGTGCCTTCACGTGGCGGGAGTGTTTTCACAAAATCCTGGAGGTCTGAAAGGCGAGTTTCTGGCGCCTGAAAACCAGTTTGTTCTTGCTCTGGGTTCCAGAGGAGCTTGTAGGGGTGTTGGCGGAGGTCAATATTCGCACCAGTCAGGGGCATTGAGCAAGTGCTCATCCAACTGGGGAAAAGCAGCTACCTCACTGCACCCACTGCCTTGTGGGATAGGTCTCGGCTAACCAATGGATAGAGTGGCGGCTCAATTAATACGTATCTGGAAGGATCTGATCAACCACTACTGCAAGCCAGGTTGACACTGCATCGGCCGCCACTGCAAGCCAGGGTGACACGGCATCACCGGCCACCACTGGTGACACAACGTCACCAGCCACTACTGCAAGCCAGGGCGACACACCACACACAACACCCACACCACACACAACACACACACTCTATCCACGCACACCACACATACCACCCACACCACAAACACCACCCACACCACACTCACCACCCACAACACACACCACACACACGAAAATCAACACCCACACCAAACACACCACACACACACACCACACACACCACCCACAACACACTCACCACACACATCACACACACCACAAGTATCACACACACCACACACACCACGCACACCACGCACACCACACACACCACACACACCACACACACCGGCAGCTACTGCAAGCCAGGGTGACACGGCATCACCTTCCACTACTGCTAGCCAGGGCGACACGGCATCACCGGCCGCTACTGCAAGCCAGGGTGACACGCCATCACCGGCCGCTACTGCAAGCCAAGGCGACACGGCATCACCGGCCACTACTGCAAGCCCGGGCGACACGGCATCACCGGCCACTACTGCAAGCAAGGGCAACACGGCATCACCGGCCGCTACTGCAAGCCAGGGCGACACGGCATCAACGGCCACTACTGCAAGCCAGGGCGACATGGCATTACCGGCCGCTACTGCAAGCCAGGGTGACACGGAATCACCGGCTGCTTCTGCAAGCCAGGGCGACACAGCATCAACGGCCGCTACTGCAAGCCAGGGCGACACGGCATCACCGGCCACTGCTGAAAGCCAGCGTGACGCGGCATCACCGGTTGCTACTGCATGCCCGGGTGACACGGCACCACCGGCCACTACTGCAAGTCAGGGTGACACGGCATCACTGGCCACTTCTGCAAGCCAGGGAGACACGGCATCACCGGCCGCTACTGCAAGCCAGGGCGACACGGCATCACCGGCCACTACTGCAAGCCAGGGCAAAACGGCATCACCGGCCGCTACTGCAAGCCAGGGCGACAAGGCATCAACCGCCACTACTGCAAGCCAGGGTGACACGATATCATCGACCGCTACTGCAAGCCAGGGTGACACGGCATCACCGGCCGCTAGTGGAGGCCAGGGCGACACGGTATCACCGGCCGATACTGCAGGCCAGGGCGACACGGTATCACCGGCCGCTACTGCAGGCCAGGGCGACACGGCATCACCGGCCGCTAATGCAGGCCAGGGCGACACGGCATCACCGGCCGCTTATGCAAGCCAGGTTGACACGTCATCACCGGCCGCTACTGCAAGCCAGGGCGACATGGCATCACCGGCCGCTACTGCAAGCCAGGGCGACACGGCATCACCGGCCACTACTGCAAGCCAGGGCAACACGGCATCACCGGCCGCTACTGCAGGCCAGGGCGACACGGCTTCACCGGCCGCTACTGCAAGCCAGGGCGACACGATATCATCGACCGCTACTGCAAGCCAGGGTGACACGGCATCACCGGCCGCTAGTGGAGGCCAGGGCGACACCGTATCACCGGCCGATACTGCAGGCCAGGGCGACACGGTATCACTGGCTGCTACTGCAGGCCAGGGCGACACGACATCACCGGCCGCTAATGCAGGCCAGGGCGACACGGCATCACCGGCCGCTTCTGCAAGCCAGGTTGACACGTCATCACCGGCCGCTACTGCAAGCCAGGGCGATATGGCATCACCGGCCGCTGCTGCAAGCTAGGGCGACACGGCATCACCGGCTACTACTGCAAGCCAGGGCAACACGGCATCTTCGGCCGCTGCTACAGGCCAGGGCGACACGCCATCACCGGCCGCTACTGCAAGCCAGGGCGACACGGCATCACCGGCCGCTTCTGCAAGCCAGGGTGACACGGAATCATTGGCTGCTACTGCAAGCCAAGGCGACACAGCATCAACGGCTGCTAGTGCAAGCCAGGGCGACACGGCATCACCGGCCACTGCTGAAAGCGAGGGTGACACGGCATCACCGGCTGCTAGTGCATGCCAGGGTGACACGGCATCGTCGGCTACTACTGCAAATCAGGGTGACACGGCATCACCGGCCACTACTGCAAGCCAGGGCGACACGGCATCACCGGCCGCTACTGCAGGCCAGGGCGACACGGCTTCACCGGCCGCTAGTGCAAGCCAGGGCGACACGGCATCACCGGCTGCTACTGCAAGCCAGGGCGACACGGCACCACCGGCCGCTAGTGCAAGCCAGGATGACACGCCATCACCGGCCACTACTGCAAGCCAGGACGACGCGGCACCACCGGCCGCTACTGCAGGCCAGGGCGACACAACTTCACCGGCGGCCAGTGCAAGCCAGGGCGACACGGCACCACCGGCCGCTACTGCAAGCCAGGGTGACACGGCACCACTGGCGGCCACTGCTAGCCAGGGCGACACAGCATCACCGGCCGCTAATGCAGGCTAGGGCGACACGGTATCACCGGCCGCTACTGCAAGCCAGGGCGACCCGGCATCACTGGCCGCCACTGCAAGCCAGGGCGACACGGCATCACAGGCAGCTACTGCAAGTCAGGGTGACACGGCATTGCCGGCCGCTACTACAAGCCAGGACGACACGACATCACCAGCCGCTCCTGCAAGCCAGGCCGACACGGCATCACCGACCGCTACTGCAAGCCAGGGCGACACGGCATCACCGGCCGCTACTGCAAGCTAAGGCGACACGCCTCACTGGCCACTACTGCAAACCAGGGCGATACAACATCACCGGCCACTACTGCAAGCCAGGGCGAAACGGCATCACCGGCCGCTACTGCAAGCCAGGGAGACACGGCACCACCGGCCGCTACTGCAGGCCAGGATGACACGGTACAACCGGCCACTACTGCAAGCCAGGGTGACACGATATCATCGACCGCTACTGCAAGCCAGGGTGACACGGCATCACCGGCTGCTAGTCGAGGCCAGGGCGACACGGTATCACCGGCCGATACTGCAGGCCAGGGCGACAATGCTTCACCGGCCGCTAATGCAGGCCAGGTTAACACGGCATCACCGGCCGCTTCTGCAAGCCAGGTTGACACGTCATCACCGGCCGCTACTGCAAGCCAGGGCGACATGGCATCACCGGCCGCTACTGCAAGCCAGGGCGACACGGCATCACCGGCTACTACTGCAAGCCAGGGAAACACGGCATCATCGGCCGCTACTGCAGGCCAGGGCGACACGCCATCACCGGCCGCTACTGCACGCCAGGGCGACACGGCATCACCGGCCGCTTCTGCAAGCCAGGGTGACACGGAATCACCGGCTGCTACTGCAAGCCAAGGCGACACGGCATCAACGGCTGCTACTGCAAGCCAGGGCGACACGGCATCACCGGCCACTGCTGAAAGCCAGGGTGACACGGCATCACCGGCTGCTACTGCATGCCAGGGTGACACGGCATCGTCGGCCACTACAGCAAGTCAGGGTGACACAGCATCACCGGCCACTACTGCAGGCTAGGGCGACACGGCTTCACCGGCCGCTAGTGCAAGCCAGGGCGACATGCCATCACCGGCTGCTATTGCAAGCCAGGGCGACACGGCACCACCGGCCGCTACTGCAAGCCAGGATGACACGGCATCACCGGCCACTACTGCAAGCCAGGACGACACGGCACCACCGGCCGCTACTGCAGGCCAGGGCGACACGGCTTCACCGGCCGCTAGTGCAAGCCAGGGCGACACGCCATCACCGGCTGCTACTGCGAGCCAGGGCGACACGGCACCACTGGCCGCCACTGCTAGCCAGGGCGACGCGGCATCACCGGCCGCTTCTGCATGCCAGGGCGACCCGGTATCACCGGCCGCTACTGCAAGCCGGGGCGACCCGGCAT